ACATCCTAAAATCAACCACTAGGGGGACCTTCTGAGAAAGTCAACACGATGGTGTCCCAGTGGCTAGTGCGAGCCTGTCCACACAGAAGCCGCAGCATCTCTTCCCGGGGCATCAGGTCACTGTGCGTTAGAGCAACAGCACGGATTGGAAGTGACTCCTGTGTTGTTGTGGTTGTCGTCCTCAGACAGCTTAAAGGTTTCAATAGCAAAGAAGTCTCTTTGAAGACAAAGGTGTGCCCCCCCCCCCCCAAGTCATGGTATTTCCCATGACCTCGCATGCATAGGAGAGTCAGACAACTGTGGGGGAGGTCAGATGCGCAGGCATTCCCTCCCCTGAGGGCAATCAGTTGCCAGACTGCTGTCTCTTCCCTCCACAGGGGTGGGCCTGCTCCCTGCCTCTGGGGACAATGGACAGGCTCCTGTAGGCGGAGTTTTCACCCTACTGATAATGTTCCTATGGAGACCCAGAGACCAACCCCTAGACCACCCTCTCATTGCTGTGTAACCTATAGTGCAGCTCCACCCTGTGACATATGTCTCTACCTGTAATTAGTGGGCTGGCATGCCCCCAAAAGGTATATAGGCATGGGTCAGCAATATAGAGCTCTCTGACCTCCTTGCTGCTCACTCCCTGGTCACTCCCCTCTCTGCCCCCTCTCCCTGTTCCCTTGCCCTCCTTCCCTTCCCCCTCTCTCCACGTGGACCACCAAGCTGGGCTGAGGTGAGCAATGCTACCATGTAATGTGTCTGACTGCATCATTGTAATATCTCTTTTATCTCTCATGCTCTCGATGACGTTAATATAATACTTTTATATCTCAACCGTACAATTGTGCATTACTGAACCCAGAGGTAGTATTACTGAATCAGTGAGTTCTAGTAGTGGGTGGGGCTGGCACCCCACTCCCCTGCGCCACTTTTAATTTAATACTACAGACAACTAATGGGGGAGAATGTCCATGGGATCATGGTGCTGTCAAAGAACCTCAAACGTGCCGTGTTCTCCCAGGAGGAACTTATCAGGGATGAGGGAATGCCCGCAGAACACTCCTTAGAAAGGAGGCCAGTAAGTGGTAAGTGCTTGGTAAGTGGACGGTCAGGAAACAGAAAGATTTCTCCCAAGTGTTCTCCCCCAAATATATGTCAGACTTAGGACACTGCTTGCAGCTAATGGCAAATGCTTGTCAAGTTACTTCCCTGAAGGCAGTCAGTTGCCAGACTACTGTCTGGTCCCACCACAGGTAGGGCCTGCTCCCTGCTGTTAAGGACAATGAGCTACTTCTCCCTAAAGGCTTACAACCAGAAGCCTGGTCCCTGTAGGTGGGGTTTACACCCTACTGATAATGGTTTCTATGGAGATCCAGAGACAAGGTCAACCTGCTCAGTGACATCCAAAGTTAGGCTGCCATCTTTAATCTGGGATCCGCCCTTCTTGTCACATGTGTACCCCCATTACCTCCCCTTCCTATTACGTGGATACCCCTAGTTCACCCCCTCCTATTACTGTATTACCTACAGCACAACCTTTTTCTGTGATGTGTGTCTTCACCTGTAATTAGGGGGCTTGCAGATCCCCAGAGAATGTAAAAGCCTTGGTTAGCATTAAATCTCTCTCTCTCCACATAGACCATCAAGTGAGGCCGAGGTGAGCATGCTACCATGAGATGTGTCTGACTCCATTATTTCACTCTCTCCTCTATCTCTCATGCTCTTTTTTGACTTCACTATATAATCTTTACTTATTATAACTGTATCAGTGTGCCTGCTGGACCCGTGATGATGTGCTAGGGGCAGGTAATCTGACAAAGAAGAGGCAGACCCTTCATGGGATGGACGACACAGTGCCTGCAGCCATGGCTCAGAGGAAGGACTGGGAGGAGCAAGGGACCCCCACCCGACCCCCGCAGGGCTTTGCTCTGAGGCAAACAAGGGCGCCGCCCTGCAGAATGATCCGGAGTGCCTAACCTCAGCGGGCTTCCCGGGCGGGCCTAGTCGACCCGCGGCTGTCACAGAAATACCGCCGACTTAGTCATTGAGCTTAGCAAACAGAAATGGGTCAGTCCAGATTCAGAGTGGCCGCTCTCGGGGTCGGGGGCGTCTCTGGGCAGGGGGGCCCTTGTCTCCAGTGGACACTGTGGCCCAGTGTTCTTGTCATCAGTCTTCTCCTGGCCACTCCTCTTTCTTTCTTGTCTTTTTAAATTATTATTATTAAAAGGCCACTTTATCAGGGCCCTTACAGCTCGGAGCACATTTGTCCACACGTCGCCACCCTTCCTTTCTAGACATTTACCTTCTGTTGGGTGCTCATTCTTTCTTAATGGCCCTGAGCCCCCCTGCTCCTTCCTCACCCCTCTGCTTTGTTCCCTTGTAAAGTCACAGGTGCTGCAGGCCACGCCCCAGGGATCCTCCCCTGCCCTTGTCAACACTGTGACCCGAGTCCCGGCTGGAGGTTTAGGGAGCGCACCCCACCCTAATGCAGCCGCATTACGTGACAAACATCTCATCTTCCATACACAGCCTAACCCTACCTCTCTAGCCAAGGCAGAGGTAAGGGGCTACAGCACAGCACAGGGACCACCACGCAGCGCTGAGAACCATGTCCAAGCTCCGAGAAGACGTTGGGGGCTGGGGGTCCACACAATTGAATCTGTGACAGGAGCCCATCCCAGCAGCTGGAGGGGGGTGCTCACTACCATGCCCACAATGAGCACCTTCGGGGACTGTGACACTGGGCAGCACAGGACGGCAGCAGGCAGGGCAAGAGGCCTCTTGGTGGAGTGGTGCCTAGCACAGGGGTCCTCAGCCTTCCCAAGGCTGCGACCCTCTCATACAGTGCCTCACGTTGTGGTGACCCCCAGCCATAATATTCTTTTCTTTTCAAGAAGGAAAATGACACACGGTGATGTTTTTATTTTGGAGGGTTTAAATAATTTTTTTTCTAATTGAATTCTTCCTTTTAAGATTTTTGAGTTTGTATTCATATTTGTTTTCTTTCATCGTTTTATTAGGAGCTCATACAACTCTTATCAGAATCCACACATACATCAATTGTGTAAAGCACATTTGTACATTCATTGCCCTC